CAGCGGCGACGAGGACGGCCTGGAGCTCGACGGGGCCCCGGCGGGGGCAAGCGCCCGGCGCGGCCGGCGGCGGCGGGCAAGGCTGGCGGCGCGGCCGTGGTCATCACCGAGCCCGAGCACACCAAGGAGCGCGTCAAACTTGAAGGGTCAAAGTGCAAAGGGCAGCTTTTGATTTTTGAGGCAACCAACTGGGACTTGATTGGTCGAAAAGAAGTGCCTAAACAGCAAGCTGCTTACCGCAATCTCGGGCAGAATGTGTGAGGGCCCCACAGGTATGGGTGCCTGGCGGGGGTCCGGGTGCGGACGGTGGTCTCTGGCTCGTGTGCTGCGCACAGCCTCCTCATCACCACGGAAGGGAAGCTGTGGAGCTGGGGGCGAAATGAGAAGGGGCAGCTGAGACACAGCGACACCAAGAGAGTGGAAGCCCCCAGACTCATCGAGGGTCTCAGCCATGAAGTGATCGTGTCGGCAGCGTGTGGGCGGAACCACACCCTGGCCTTGACGGACACGGGCTCCGTGTTTGCATTTGGGGAAAACAAGATGGGGCAGCTGGGCCTCGGCAACCAGACAGATGCCGTCCCCAGCCCCGCGCAGATAATGTACAACGGCCAGCCAATTACCAAAATGGCCTGTGGGGCTGAATTCAGTATGATAATGGACTGCAAAGGGAACCTCTATTCCTTTGGGTGCCCTGAATATGGTCAGCTGGGACACAACTCTGATGGGAAGTTCATCGCCGGGGCGCAGCGGATAGAGTAGACTGTGAGCTGGTACCCCGGCGAGTGGCCATCTTCATCGAGAAGACGAAAGATGGGCAGATTCTGCCGGTACCGAACGTGGTTGTGCGAGCTGTGGCCTGTGGCGCTAACCACACACTGGTCCTGGACTCCCAGAAGCGCGTCTTCTCCTGGGGCTTTGGTGGCTATGGCCGGCTAGGCCACGCAGAGCAGAAGAACGAGATGGTCCCTCGCCTGGTGAAGCTATTTGACTTCCCTGGGCGTGGGGCGTCCCAGATCTACGCTGGTTACACCTACTCCTTTGCCGTCAGTGAAGTAGGTGGTCTGTTTTTCTGGGGGGCCACCAACACCTCCCGTGAGTCTACCATGTACCCGAAAGCAGTACAGGACCTCTGTGGCTGGAGAATCCGGAGCCTGGCTTGCGGGAAGAGCAGCATCATCGTGGCTGCAGACGAGAGCACCATCAGCTGGGGCCCATCGCCAACCTTCGGGGAACTGGGCTACGGGTACCACAAGCCCAAGTTTTCCACTGCAGCCCAAGAGGTGAAGACTCCGGATGGCATCTTCTCGGAGCAGGTCGCCATGGGCTACTCACACTCCTTGGTGATAGCGAGAGATGAAAGCGAGCCCGAGAAAGAGAAGATCAAGAAACTGCCAGAATACAACCCCCGAACCCTCTGATGCTCCTGGAGACTCCTCCATCCCACCTCTCGCGGCAGCTGTCATTTCCATGTGCACTGGGACGTGAAGTCAAACGAGGAGTTTCAAAAAGCAAAAGTTGACCGAAGGTGCATTTTTGTTAGACTCCCCGAGGTTCCGTTTTATAAGTGATCCAACGTTAACTACCTTTTTCTGTATGCTTTCCAAAGTATGTTTTTTTCTCTTAATGTTTAATTAAAATATTTTCTCATAGTTGACTTACCATTCCTACAAAAAAGGCAGAAACTTTGAGCAATCTAGGTTTTTTTCCTCCTCCTAAATACACTTCCCAAAACATCCGTTTCCAGTCGTCATTAGCATTGTGACCCGAGTGGGTGCTGCGTGGAAGAGGAATCGCCGTTTGCTCAGAAAAGATGTCCTTACAGTAACCAGCAGCATCCAGGCAAAGACGGTCCGTGGGGTCATCTCCATCCGAAACCACGCTTGCGTCTTTGGAGCACCCGGGTCACTCCTTGCCCGCTTTTTCTTGCAGACCGGCTTGTTCTGTTTTTCCCCCGGCTGTTTGCGAGGCCCGAGGCCTTCTGGCTGCACCGTGAATAGAATCTGCCGTTTCCCCCCTGGTGGGGGTTTGGGGTCTGTGTTTAGCCATTTTTATCTACTTTAGGTATAAAAGCAGCCCAGATGAAAATCAGGTGACCGTGGAACCATGGGACTTGGGGGTGGGGCAGAGGTGGGAGCATTTGTATCTGTTGATGGCTCCCTGTGGAGCCCGGGCCGGCACTAGCACTCGCCAGTTAGAGATTGATCAGCCAGCAGTGAGAAGTGCTTTCTCCAGTCCCTGCGAAGAAGGATCAGCCCTTTGTCGTACCAGCCTTTATCGCCTTTGTGCTTCTGTCTGTCTTTTTCTTACCCCCACGCCCCCAACTCCTGGGTCCTGCCTGCAACGGGCGGTCCTGTTTCTGAGACTTGGGATCCATTCTGCTAACCCAGCTCTCTTTAGTCGCATTTGCTTGGCTCTGGTACCAAATAGTTGGGATTACTGAAGAAGTCCCCCTTCCCTGCGTGTCAGCGCCGATGCCGTGACTGCCACCCGCTTCCCGTCAAGTGCCCTCTGCCCGAGCTCGCCACCGACGTGCGCTGCGCTGCGTGAGTTACGAGGTGCCTTTCCCGGAACCCTCCGCTCACTTGGACCCAAGAGAGGTGACAGCTCTGGCTGGGGCTCTTGGTTTCCAGAGGGTCTGGACTGGTTTGGGTGCTTTAAAATAGATTTTTAGTTCAGTGGTGCTTATGGGGGAGGTGGGGATAGAACTTAAGTGTGAGACTTGGGTGGATGGGAAAGTTAAATATTGGTCTCTTCGATTTTCTTTGCTTTTGCTATTGTTGTTACCATTTGTCATTGTATCGATGTTAAAATGCCAAAAATGATCTAGTTGTTGCTTTTTTCTCTATCTTCCACCCCCTTCTCTCCTTATGGTGACTTCTGCCCTTACAGGGCGCGTAAGAGTATCTGTCCTGGCCAGTTCCAAGGCCTTGCGGGAGGAGACAGGCCTGCATCTTTCCAAGAGTTAGTCTGATTTCATGCTCATCTCTCTGTCCTGTGTTCAGTCAGTAGTCCAGGGGAGAAGCTTGTGCAACTTCAGAGCTGCTGCTAAACTAACCCAATTTGTCCAAATCACTCTAAAACCACCGTCTCTGACTCAAGCTTCCATGTGACAACCTAATCGGTTTCCCTGCTTAGGCCTCTTTCCTTGCACGAAGCTCAGGCATCTGCGCTCTTTGTACCCTCGGGTGGTGTGGTCGCCAAGAGGGTTGAGGAAGCAGCACCCTGGGTCCTGGCCTTCGCAGAGGTGCCCTGGGCAGAGCTGGGCTTAGGGCCTCTGTGGACTTACCGAAAACCAGCCTCAGCCTCTTCGGGAACCCTTGCCAGGGACTGGAGAAGGAAAGGGACCTTTAAGACTGCCCTGTCCCACCAACTGCCTCCCCCGACTCCTTTTGGCTTAGTTTTAAATGAACTTCCTAAGGGGGAAAATCCTTTGAACAAGGAGTTGGTTGGAGGGTGCTGCACTCCTGAAGGTACACAGCAGCCTGGCCTGGCCGGGGACCTGCTTGGCACTGGCCCCAAGGGTGTGTGATCAGTCTTCAGCTCAGGAAGGAGGATTTGAAAGAAGAGGCTTAAGAGTGCAGGGAAGTTGAAGAGCAGGTCGCAATTTGGTCAGAGGTGCCTGGTTTAGTGCTGTCATTGTCTTATTTTTTTTAATATATATATTTCTTGGAGTAAACATTTTAAATAAACGGCATCATTGTTTACTCAAAAAAAAAAAAAAAAAAATGGGACCTGATCAAATTAAAAAGCTTCTGCACAGCCAAAGAAACTGTCACAAGAGCAAACAGACAACCTAAAGAATGGGAGAAAATTTTTGCATGCTACAAATTCGATAAAGGGCTGATAACCAGAATCTACTTAGAACTCAGGAAAATCAACAAGAAAACATCAAACAACCCTATCAAAAAGTGGACAAAGGACATGAACAGAAACTTTTCAAAAGAAGACAGAATAATGGCCAAAAAACATATGAAAAAATGCTCAACATCTCTAATCATCAGGGAGATGCAAATCAAAACCACAATGAGATATCACTTATCTCCAGTGAGACTGGCCTTTATCAAAAAGTCCCAAAACAATAAATGTTGGCGTGGATGTGGAGAGATAGGAACACTCATACACTGCTGGTGGGACTGCAAACTAGTGCAACCTCTGTGGAAAGCAATATGGAGATACCTTAAAGAGATACAAGTAGAAGTACCATTTGATCCAGCAATCCCATTACTGGGCATCTACCCAAAAGATCAAATGACACTCTATAAAAAAGATACCTGCACCCAAATGTTTATAGCAGCACTATTCACAATTGTAAAGACGTGGAAACAACCCAAGTGTCTATCAATACATGAGTGGATTAATAAAATGTGGTATATGTATACCATGGAGTACTATTCAGCTTTAAGAAACAATGGTGATATAGCACCTCTTGTATTCTCCTGGATAGAGCTGGAACGCATTCTACTAAGTGAAGTATCCCAAGAATGGAAAAACAAGCACCACATATACTCACCATCGAATTGGTATTAACTGATCAACACATAAGTGCACAGATAAGAATTAACATTTATTGGATGTGGGGCAGGGGGGAGGGGGGAGGGAGAGGAGAGGACAGGTATATGCATACACAGAGTGTGCGATGTGCACCATCCGAGGGATGGACACACTTGACATTCGTACTTGGGGGTGGGGGAGGGGGGCAAGGGCAACATACGTAACCTAAATGTCTGTACCCTCATAATATCTTGAAATAAAAAAAAAATAAAAAGAAATCCAGAAGACTTGGAGCCCCTGATTTAGGGAACACACCCACCACTCTGTGGGTGCTCTAGCTCCTGCCATTCCTCACACTCCACTGATTTCTCTGATGACCAGCACACTCAAGGAGTGAAAGTTTTATTAAATGGAGCAAATTTAGTGGAGAACGGCAAAGACAACAATTAGAGGCCCTAACCACAGAGAATCAGCAATCTCCAAAGGAGTGAGGAGAAGATTTAACAGTGACCAGAATGGACTCTTGTTCACCTTCAGAGAAATAATAGCAGAGCATAGTCAGTCTGAGCCGACTAGCACTCTATCATTGGGATATTTTGTTCTTACCACATGACCTCATTTCTAATAATTTTTTTTCTCTTAATTGGCAGACACACCCAACAAAGAAGCATTCAGTTCAAATCCCTCTTAGCTACACCTCCAATGCATCTAAATGCTATGTTACAGAACTGCGCTCATCTCATCAAGACTTTTCCTTCCTGGTTAGCATCTACAGGTCCTGCTGCTTTCTCATCATCCTAGCAAATGTGTACTATGTTCAAGGTGTTTAAGGCATTGTTCTTGTCCTCATGCACACAAGTACTTATGTAGAAATTTTCTTTTGCCTGATTTTTTTTCATTTATTCATTCAACATTAATTGAGCACTTAGTAGGTGGTGAAAGAAGCATGTAAGACGTAGAGATTCTGCTCCCCAGGGGCCTACAGATCTTTACGGGCTGATTTGATCTCCTTCAGCTAGTACCCTTGGAATCATACCAATGTTTTATCAGTTTTAATAATGAAAATATGCAAATATTTATCATTTATCACGCCTTCAGAAAAAATCAGAATCTATTCAATATACATCCTAAATACACTGGCCAAAGTTTGAAGACGCTAGAGAAACTTGTGGGAAGGGGAAATGTAAATATTATTTAAAATGCTTTCAACTTCAGGTGGTAACGATGGGACAAGTCTGAGGAGAGAGTTGGCAGGGGGTGCAGAACTTAGGGGAAGTAAAAAAAATATGTGGTTGAATCATTATCATTTGTAATTGTCATCAGGGAAACAGAAAAGGGAGGGAGAAGCAGTGGTCACGGAGAGAAATGAAATATCCACAAAGGATATCTGCTCTTCTCTTAACCCTACATTTAAGCCAGAGAGGGAAAGTAGGCATATTCTGCCATGCCCCAGAGAATAGAATTAATACAAAAAAAAAAAAAAATACAGGTGCTTGTTTTAAGCAATCCCCAAAGGAGAATGCCTTCAGAGAACTGCCTCAGAAAATGTTCAGCCTCCCATTGCTGAGATTGTTAAACTGAGGCTAGATGAAGCCCAGCAATGACACTGCTAAAAGGACTCCTTCTCCAGGTGAGAGCAAACAGCATGAGCCATGCTTTCAGTGGTAAAAACACTAGCATAGGTGACTGAAGAGTTAAACCAACTAATTTCACACATAAAACAACCTCAAGATAGAGTTTTTTTATAGTTATGTATAAAGAGCTAGTTTTTAATATATCATCACCAAACAGTGACTCTCTCCAAGGGCTCTGACTAACAGAGCATTTCTACCCAAAGGGAATGCAGGCCTGGGAACATTTATTACAATGTCATCTCTTTTATGAAACAAAAATTCTTCAGCATTCCTTTCATCACAAGGGACCTTCT